CCGAAATTGAATGCGAAGTTGGACGTCAAACCTGATTCTGACTCTTACAGCCATGCGTGATATTCTTGTCGCTGAACAGCCAGCTTCTACGGACAAAGAAATAGTAGAAGTGCAGCACAATGAGATGCAAGCAACATTTCCAAAATTTGACGATATGTCGTCTTTGCAGGTTGGGCTTATTCTATTGAGGTATTCATCCATTAATCCGAGTTCGTACTGAGTACATTGAAATGAGCTCTGACTGTGACAATGTATTCAGCTTGGGCCTCGCGATGTTCTTATTCGCAATAGGTAGAAATTCATTCTATTATTTGAGATTTCAACGCCGGTACTTACCCATTTCGTGAGAGGAAACCATTGTCGCTACTTCGGTTGCGAGCTCGAGCATTGGTGCAGCATTGAACATCAAATCTTCCTTGACCTGGATATCCACTTCGTACTTTCTCACTACCACTGTTGTTCAGCCAATCATAGGAAGAATCGCGGTTTGTTTGTCACAAGCTCAACTTCAAAAAAAAAAATTGATGCGAAATTCTTGACGCAGGATGTGGTTGGAAGTAAACGTTTACTCCTCATCGAGCTGTGGATATTCGTCCTGGGGAATATCATAGCTGGGACGAGCAAAACTCTCACCCAGATCGTTGTTGGGAGGCTGATCAGTGGTATCGGTGGTGCAGGACTGATGTCTGTGGTTTGCATTTTGGTTTCGCGTGAGTGGAACTGTGTCTAGCGCGAGCAGGTCGTTTGAAGCTTCCCCTTTCGTGAAGAACTTACCCATGAACGCCAGCGTGCGACATACATGAACCTCATCAATGCCGTCTTCATCATCTCGGACGCGGTAGGACCGATCCTTGGGGGTGCTCTGGCAAACTCCGGGAATTGGCGATGGATGTGAGTGCTCATCTCTTTGAAATTAGGTTGAGCTACATGTCCTCACTTGACTCTCCAATTCAGATTTCTCATCAATGCACCATTCAGTCCTGTCAGTGAGTGTCGCTTTTGTACAATCGTTATGGCTCCTGAGTAACCGCCGCCCTAACATCCTTTTAGTCACTTTCCTTGTCTTGCGCTGGTTACGCTTTCCTTCCCCAAAGGTTTCTTCTACAATGCATATTCGTTCTTTACGCGATGTGCTTTCCAAAGTTGACCTACTCGGGATGATTACTCTCGTCTCGTGCCTTTCCTTTCTTGTGGTCGCACTCAACTCCGGAGGACAAACGGTGCCCTGGGGCTCTTCTCTCATAGTAGGTATGCTGTGTGCTTTAGGCGTTTCTGGGATTGCGTTTTGTGTCGTGGAAGGTCGATATGCCAAAATGCCGATCGCACCTGGAAGACTATTCGTGAGATGGGGTTGGAGAAACGTTCCGATCATGATGATAACCAGAACTCTTCTTTTCTTCCATAATTTTGCAATGGTGAGCGAGACCTGCCGTCCTGGACACCTGAAAAACAGCTCTGATTCTTTCTCTCCCTAGATTTTCTACATTCCTAGTACGTCATATTGCTTTAACGAGCCAGTCAACTATCTCTTATTCATCCACCACGCAGTTTTCCTACAAGTTATTGGCCTTTCGACAGTCATTTCTTCTGCGCTTATCATTCCCTTCCTCGCTATGGCGGCAATATCCAGTTCAGCAGTAAATGCGACTGCGTCCAAATATGGAAATGTGAGGACAATGTGTACCTGTGGAATTGCTATCATTCCAATTGGAATGGTGAGTCGAAGTGTTGTGCTTGGCCAGGCGCGCTCTGATCATACGCTGTACAGGGTTTGATGTCCACGTTAAATGAAAAGAGCTCCATTGGGAGGATCGTAGGGTATTCATTGATATCGGGGCTGGGTTTTGGATCTGTACGCTACCTCTTGTCACTATGTTCATGTCGCACCTAATTTCAATTTTTGTTAGGCAACACAAATAACGATGGTCATTGCGCAAGTCGGCTTACCCGCAGATGAGCTGTCTACAGTGACGGCCCTAGTTGGGGCTGCTCCGACGCTAGGTGGGACGCTGGGCGTTGCTGTTGTTGGTACCGGTAACTGCTGCCATTCTCCACTCGACTGTGTCGGCTCATTTTCTGTGTCCAGTTATCAACAACGCCTATCAACAAACCGTACGACGGTCCGCGATAGCTTCCTCCTTCATCCAACAAAGCAGTTCCAACTCAACAATTTCACTCAACCCCTCCGACGTAATTTCGAGCATATCTTCGCTGGCACCGGAGAATCCTGTGCGCGATGTTCTTATTAATGCGTATGTGTCTGCATGGAAAAAGGGATGTTATACTCTTGTGGGAGTGGCGATAATGCAGCTTGTGCTTTGTGCGATGATGCGAAGAGTAGATTTCGATTCCGCTTCAGAGAAGGAAGAAGGTCAGCTTGAAGACAACCGGCGAAATGTGGTCGAGGAGGATATAAAGATAGCGGGATGAACCAAGATGAATCACTGAGAATGCAGGAGCAACACAGATTACATCACACTTCTCACTAAGATAACACGTACAAATGGGATTATTGGGATGTCCTTTCTCGAACAATCGATGTTTATATCAAATGAACACTTCAGTTTTTGAGCGCTCAAAATCGTCTTCCCAACTTAAGTTTGAATATTTGAATCTCAAAGTGATCAGATTTTGTGCTGCAAAACCTCATTAAATTCCTTTGGTGGAAGGATATTTACGACTCTCACCTGACCAGAGTGCTGCAAGGCAGAAATTTCCGCATATCAAAGTATTCGAAAATGTACAATTGACATGTCCAAAAATGGATACTTGGTGAAAGGAACTTATGTTTGAGAACAAAGGAGCACCTGCCAACCGAAAGGCTTGTTAATCACAAATGCGTCACCAGGCGACAGTCAATTCATTTGCCAAAGCCAAAACCCTCTTTATGAGACAATAAGAAGTAGCTGCGGGCCACCGGTGGCCCAACAACTCCTCGCCACAACGGGAATATCACTGAGCGCTCAATCAAAGAAACTCGATAAAAGGACCTGAACAGCACTGTGATCGCCGCCAAATTTTCCCAACTTGAATCATCGTTCAGCCACCAAGTTACCATGCCACTTACACGATCTCAAACACGGAAAAAAGCAGCACAAGCCCAAGTCGAGACCGAAAACCCGACGGGTGCCGTTCCTTATCCCCCCTCCATCCTGCGTTCTCCGCTACGACTCGAGCGTAATGTGATTACGCCGGCATCAACCTCTCTTATGTCAACCTTCACACCTAAAGATCGTCAGACTCATCGCAGACTGGAACGCGCCATGTCTCAAAACCTACTTCGGGCCATGGCAGACACCAAGGTTAAAGTAGCAACCGCCCCACGAGTATGTAACTCAGGACCGAAACCATTGCGGCGTTACGAAACGCCACTGGAGTTGGTGGGGAAGGCAGTGAACGATCCGGCTCTGTTGAACGCGCCCAAAGCTAATCGAGTGTACAAACCGAGACGAGAGCCGTCGTTCGCAGCTGTGCTTGAAGAGTTGTCGGAGCATGATACCTTCCAACCAGTTCGACCTCGGCAGCAGCAGCAGCTGACAGATTTACCTGACCTAGAGGAGTTCGGAGGCATCCCTCTCAATTCTTCGTATGAGCTCACTGAGCAGGAGCGAGGATGGATGGAGGAGTTTGACAAAACGGTTCCTTTTTCATTCGATGATCCAGCGAATTGGGGGCAGTTTCGCGCGTTCATGGTCAATTTCGACGAATTCATGAAACGTAAGATACGGGATCGGGGGATAGAATCCACGCACTCGGGTATATCTGCTCCCAAGTTGCATATGCATAATGAAATTACACCACAATCATAGACATAGGGAGTTATATTTCATTAGTTGTTTTTGTCCGAGGGTCGTATGTAGGATTAATGGATACATGTACAGAATCAGTGCAGTAGCTTTCTTCGATCAATGAGTGACGTCCTTGACCTTGGAGATAATTGAGCCGTTGTCTGTGATGACTTTAAAGCGAACTAGCGGGCGGGATAATTATCAAAACGCGTTGACAGAAGAAGCGGGTAAATCAGATTAGACACGCACGGATTTCGAACGGAACACCCTTTTCACGGCGGATACTGGTGAAATAGACCGTGCCAGCACCTATAGAGAAATAGTCAGCCGTTATTACCCAGAGGATTGGCTGTATGCGCACTTTTGGACCCCTTGACTCTAAAGCTAACATCGATATTTCCTTGCATGGTGCTAATCTGAACAAACCTGAATAAGTTCGCCTCGCTGACAGTGTTACTATAACACAGACCGAACCAATAATTCTCGGATCGCCATTCAGCCACCATTCACCTTGCATTCGTATAGCATCTCCGAGAACCGCCCGCAATTCCTCATCCTCTCGTAGCTCCCGCATGATCTGTTGGACAACCGAGCTTGAGATCTTTTCCTGGTTTGTCACAAATGTGAGGAAAGCAGTCCATCCAGCCACCCCGATGACCGCAAACGCAAGGATGGCAGGCCAAGTTCTCTAAAAGAAGCAAACGATACGTCGATGACTGGTCTTAAAGGGTTTTTCTAACGTACCTGCAACCGAGGTAAATCTCTTTTCAGCGCAGGAGGCGGGTGTTTCAAATGATACGGTCGTGGACGAGAAGTACCAGAATATATGGTAACATTTGGAGGCTCTGCTGCAGCGGGACCAGGTCGACTAGTTGTTGAAAGACATCTTCGGTCGATAGTACACTGTAGATGTTGTCGGGGTAGAATAGTCAGAGAGCGACGCGTCATTACAGATTTGTGTGCTGTAGAGTAGATGTTCATGATTGCGCAATGAGATTTCCAGGAGTGACAAGTGTAAGAAAGAGGAGAATCTAGGAAATAGCGGAACGGATTCGGCCGGAATTAGAACAGAGTCAATTTCACGTGCATAAATGAAAAAGGATATTGTGCAGACTCCACAGTCGACGGAGGCCCACTGCAGAGTCTCGTCCAACTCAGGCCTCAATATCAATAGCAAGACAAGATAATGCCAGCTGCGAGCTAGCTATGCATGGTGAGATGGCCGAGTGGTCTAAGGCGCTAGATTTAGGCAATTTGCAAATCTCTAGTCATTCGTGGCGTGGGTTCAAATCCCACTCTCATCACTCAATTGTTTGTTTGTTTTTTTCGCCAACGAGTTCGGACTGTACTCAAGCTTAGAAAAGTTCCAGGCAGAAGTATGTAAAACAAGGTTGCATTTTCCAAGTTCGTATCGTACATATTGAAAACGAGGGTGCTCATGCAAGTGCGATACATTTCAACTAGTGAAGTATTTAGTGACCATCACATCGACCAGACGAGAGGGGAGCCTACCACGAACTAATACACGAAAGGCCAGTGGAACCCTCGAGGAGTCAATCTAGTTAGATTGGCAGGTAAACGAGTTCGCAATCTTGGAAAAGCCGACAACGGTCAAATCGTCGATAGTACCGTCGATCAGCTGTGACGTGCCAGTGCAAGCCTCTCCACTAGAAGAACGAGTTCAATGGACGGCCTAGGGTAGTGAGGAATACAGGAAAACTAGATAATACTCACGTGAAAAGGGTACATTCGATACCACTTGGAGTTGCAACACTTTCTACAAGGTCGCCCTGCCCATTGGCGATGAGGCTAGTGCAACCGACAGGTAAAGTGGTAGACGTCCAAGTCAGACAGTTTTGTAGGTTGACTTCGTTGCATGTGGTGAATACTAAGATCGCGTTCGCCACATCGCTGAAGAGGCCCTTGTGTGCGACGGCAGCAGCTGGCGCTCTCGGGGTAAGAGCAACGGACGAGACCAAGGCGGCGTTGAGGAGAGCAAAGAGTGCGACGAATTTGTACATATTGCGGAGGATTCCTGAAGCTAGACCCAAGTTGAGTTGACTAACTGCTAGGGAAATAGACTGTTGACCCTCGAACTTTTATACGGGAGGGAGCGCGATTCCCAAAGGAATTGCAGATTCCGGAGATCAATGGTTCATGAGCTGTTTGTGAAGCTATAGACCATCCATCTTTCGAATCAGTGATCACGAAGGCCAGTAACGTAGCGGATTTCAATTTATCAATACTTGAATAGTACACTGCAGTACAGTTGTTTTTGGCGCCGGGTAAACAGCGAACACGCTGGCTGTTGACAGATGTGTCGTTCTCCCTCGTTCGAGAAGAGATGTAAAAATCCTGATACAAGGAAGTTAGGCACAATGTATTCGCAAGGCATTCGGATCACTCGACAATAGCTATTGGTCAATAGCCTGTGTCCAATGACGGCTGCTCGAATTCGACATCAGGAAAACACGAGTAAATTTGGACGGTTTGCTAAGGCCGTTGTATGAATGAGGAAGTATTCGGCACTCGCTGTGTCTTGACATACTGAGGGCGTTGAAAAGACATCGTCCAATGTGACAGCCGCTGTAACATTCGATCAACTCGTTATTGCCACAATCAGTGAAAAAGAGTACACACCATATATAGCAACGGCCTGAACTCTCGTGAACTCTTTCTTAAGCCTTAGAAGAGATGGAAAGCTTTGTTCGTTCCTAGCGCGCCAACCATGAGGTATCCCTTCTGACGGAATAATGGACAGTAACAGGAACAGGATTGTGGAAGCTGAGCGTGCCGAGCTAATTTTACTTTGGGTTTATCATCTAATTACTGAGAGACACTTGATGTTATGGAAGTATGCGCATGATTTGGGAAAAAGGCTTCTGCCCCCCTGTCTATATCAGAGTCGTACAGTTGACATAATAAAATTAGCAGACCACTATAATTTTCGTTTGTCCACAGACAGCTACGCCCTATAGACAATGCCCATCAATTTCTGCTCAAAATCTCCTCAATGATGTAGATTCCGCGCTTGTTAATGGAGCTGAAGCAACGACATACATGTCATGTCGGCCTGCCATCGATTATGTATGTGAGTTCCGAAGAGTTGTGCCGACATGAGTTTGGAAAAATGCTTTCGTATTTGTATTTGAGAGAAATCTGTGGCGCTAGACGAAGACAAGTAGTCCAAGTCTCGCAGGCCAGATTTCACATTGAGTGAAGAGTATTGAGCAGCATCAACTCACAAGCGCCCGACTGCAGCATCGGCGCCTATCAGTTTGACATACGGTACCGCGCACACCACTTTTTCTTTTGAAATACAACAGAAAGTGTGTACACCGCAGTAGCTTCTGACTCAGAGTGCATTCGAGTCTTGACTTACGAAGTGTCGTTTTTTGCTCATGGCATTGAATATGATGTTCGTAAACTCATTACAGTCGATCCGGAAAATAATCTCATTTTATCTAAATTCGGAATAAGAGGGAATATCTCGCCATCACCATGAATTGTTCTGCTGAGCCCGCAATTTCCTCCCGAGGAACCCAAATTCTCATCTGTTCAATGACATATCATCCTCAGACACCGAAACCTAGTGTCGCAAGACGAAAGTGTATTCCCTAATTTAGATAAAATGAGCATCACGTGTCACCATCCGCACCTCGAGAAAAAATTCTGACATTCCCATTATTTTCCGGATCGACTGTAACTTGCATCGTTTTGTCACCAGAACGTATCTCATGTAGATCTAGACATGTAGACTCAACGTAGGTCTGGTGTGGGTCCAGTTTCCCAGAGACCAATGCTTCCTTTTTCTGATGCTTCGTCATCTTATCAACCATGCGTGAAGTGCGAGGCATTCTAACCAATTCAAGAATAATCCTTGTAATTTGCAATCTAGATTGAAACTTATTCTAACATATGATCCAATGGCGAAGCAAGGACAGAACAATACTTGTTTCGAAGATCCATCTTTGTCGCCTAGGGCTGTACACGCAAATCACCATAAAAGATTGAACGTGGCGAAGAAGCACCGAAAGACAGATATAAATTCGAAGTAGAAAAAGGATGTAATTATTTCTGCCCCAGACTTGCGCCACATAAATTGCGGCTCGAGTTCATTTCATGATTATCATGGCCTCCTCGCACAAATCTAGACATTCATCCGCGCCCATAACTCGCACCGACACTCCGCCTGGAGAGCTAAAGGTCCCAGCGGCACCATCCAGCTTCAAGCGCACCATTGACCTTCCTCCTGATCTCGATGACTACCCCTGTCATGATCCAATGGGAGACTTCGAAGGCGATGACGACAATGTTGAAATGCAGCAATACCTTGAGCACATATACATGACCTCGAAGTTGACACCAGATAACAATGGCGCGGCGAGAGACTATGGCTTCAGCGAATCTCTGCCAATCGAAACCAGGACCGATAGCCGCAGTGCCCATAATTTGAAGCATAAGCTCAAAGATGGTACCAGTAAAGGAGGAAGCAATAGGCATAGAAACCATAGTAACGGCTTCGAAGCAACCACGAGCAGTAATGGGAGCACTACCACCAAATATGCGATGCCACCTACGACTGCGAGTTTGGTACAAGATACAAATAGTTCGCAGTTCGAGGAATTTGGCGGTCTCCTCTCCAACCAACCCGGGGAATTGGACGAGCTGGACATCGGGCTAGTGCGTCCGGACGAGCAGTGGAATTACGAGACAACTATGGACAATCATATGGATATTCCATTCCCAGTCCCCCTTTCGAGCAGTAAATTCGACGGGAAAAGGAAAGGAAAGGGTAAAGATCTGGGATGGTGATGTGGTCAAAAGCGCGCACGAACAAATGGAAAGAAAGTTTCTTGTACATTATGGTAGGCATGCAATATACATACCAAATTTTGCTGGCGATAGGCGTTTAGTAGAAAGTGCTTCGGGGTCCGCGGCCCGGATACAGAGAATCCTCGATGAAAGTTAAACTTCGTGCGTGTAATTATTCCACCACCCATGTACGCATATGTATGCAGAGTCTATTTAATTGGTTGTTTCCTTCCCTTATTCTCTATATACTGTCAGCGTTTGCATTCCTAACTGTTTTTCTTAAATTCTAGTGGACGTGCATAGACGTTATTCCAACGCTTCATCAACGACTCATTTACGTTCTTAACTGTTTTTGTTAACTTCCCTCGTGGATAAGACCTTCTAGTGGACATGCATAGACAAACTCGATTCTTCTGACGCCTCATCGACATCTATGAAGCTTCGCCTCGTGTTCAATTCTTGTGCTTGTATAAAGTATTGCGGCCACTCAAGCTCTATGTTTTGCTGGTCTTCACTGCAACGTTCTTTCCAGATGCCAATGAAATCTTCGCGCGACGTGAAATGCTCTGTCTTTTTATCATGCTCAAACGCAGTAATCTGTGACAAACGAGGAACCCTTACCTGCTCAAACGTACGTGGTCTCGTATAAAACTGGCAAAGTTATAGTTCATTAAATGCGCCTTTTCTCCAGTGTCGATTAGTTCGAGTACGCATCCATGCTACTTACAGCTTGCCTAACATACAACCATCTCTTTCTTATAGTACTGCTCTAGACAATGCCAAGAAGCGCATTGGGCTTCTCACAAAAAGTATTGCAAACATCCTTACAACCGTCTGGATTGGAAGCCCGCCTGGATCACTGAAAATCGGTCACCAACATTCGTAGGGGGTGATACTCAATCACATTTCGGGGTTCATTGGGCTCCAGAGTATCTCTGGGGAAACACACCGGCAGTCAACTGTTTCCAGCTAGAACACAACGAAGGGGTTCTTGAGAGTGTCGAAAAAGATTTCAATCTGTGCTTCGCTGGTAAGTTTGTCTGCCTATACATACGTGAATCACGATTGAAATATTCTATCCTTCAGCCTCAGGTGATATACGGAATATGGTAATGACGGTCAATGGCCTTCCAGATAACTACCAAGGTCACTGCAAGATTCTATTGAACGACCGTAGTGATCTTGTCACCACTAGGAATATTCTTATCTTGTACGCCCTCTTGCGACACGGTAATCCACCTGAGCTTGCTGCAGAAACCGCTGTACATCTCATGTACTCTGCCGCGCTTCGCTCATCCGACTCCTCCGAGCTCTCTCACTGCATCAAAACTGTCTATGGCGATGTCATGTCCATGTATCAATCGCCCATGTTCATGTCGTTTATCACCAGATTAAGCCCGAATAATGTACGCAAGAAATCCTTTCCGATACGAGGAGCTGGGAGCTTATCTATTGCACAATCTGCTGTCAAATTTTTTGACGAGCCACT